GGACAGAGCATGGTGACAAAGTGTGGGGACAAGGATGGGGATGGAACGTGGAGACAGTGAACAGTGAGGGGACAGGACGTGGGACAGGAAATAGTGACAGCAAGGGGGCGGAGCATAGGGGATGGGGACAGACTAGGGGGACAAGGCATGGGGACAAGGATGGGGACAGACCCTGCCTGTGAGGTGGTGCTGGCCTTGCCCACCCCCATGCACACCCCTCACAATTGCACGCATTCATCCTCAAACCGAAGTCCCGCTGGCACCTCCTCTACTGAAATACCTCATGATAACGGAATTAACGAGGCATTGCAATTAATGGGGTTTGTCCTGACAGTATCAGAAAGAAGCATGCAGCCCACGTGGGCACGGCTCAGTCACCGATGCCTGCTCAGGGCTGCAGCAAAGCTCCCTTCCACCCCAACCCATTCCACCGGGAGGTGGTGGGGCTCCTGTTCCCATTCCCATTCCCTCATTCTCCCTCCTTGCAGCCACCTCCATCCTGAAGAGGCAGAAGCAGCTGCGCAGGAAGAATGTGCGCTTCGACCAGGTGACGGTGTATTACTTTGCCCGGCGCCAGGGCTTCACCAGCGTGCCCAGCCAGGGTGGCAGCTCACTTGGCATGGCCCCGCGGCACAACTCGGTGCGCAGCTACACGCTGTGCGAGTTTGCACAGGAGCAGGAGGTGAACCACCGTGAGATCCTGCGTGAGCACCTCAAGGAGGAGAAGCTGCACGCCAAGAAGATGAAGGTACGATCGGGCATCGCCCTTCCTGGAGTTTTGCTGGTTTGTGGTCAACCATTTGTCAACCGTTGGTCAACCACTTGTCAACCGTTGGTCAGCTGTTGGTCAGTGAGGACACCCTGCTGGCTCATGGTCAACTGTTAGTCAGCTGATTGTCCACTGTTGGTCAACAGTTGGTCAACCACTTGTCAACCGTTGGTCAACCGTTGATCTGCTGTTGGTCAACAGTTGGTCAATGAGAACACGCTTCTGGTTCATGGTCAACCACTTGTCAACCATTGGTCAACCACTTGTCAACCGTTGGTCAGCTGTTGGTCAGTGAGGACACCCTGCTGGCTTGTGGTCAACTGTTAGTCAGCTGATTGTCCACTGTTGGTCAACAGTTGGTCAACCACTTGTCAACTGTTGGTCAACCGTTGATCTGCTGTTGGTCAGCAGTTGGTCAATGAGAACACGCTTCTGGTTCATGATGAACCACTTGTCAACCATTGGTCAACCACTTGTCAACCGTTGGTCAGCTGTTGGTCAGTGAGGACACCCTGCTGGCTCGTGATCAACAGTTAGTCAACTGATTGTCCGCTGTTGGTCAGCAGTTGGTCAACCACTTGTCAACTGTTGGTCAACCAGGACATAGTCTTGGCTCACCGTTGATCTGCTGTTGGTCAACCACTTGTCAACCGTTGGTCAACCGTTGATCTGCTGTTGGTCAACAGTTGGTCAATGAGAACAGGCTTCTGGTTCATGATCAATCACTTGTCAGCTGTAGGTCAAGCACTTGTCAACCGTTGGTCAGCTGTTGGTCAGTGAGGACACCCTGCTGGCTTGTGGTCAACTGTTAGTCAACTGATTGTCCACTGTTGGTCAAGTTGGTCAACCAGGGCACACTGTTGGCTCACCGTTGATCTGCTGTTGGTCAAGCACTTGTCAACCGCTGGTCAACCATTGATCTGCTGTTGGTCAACAGTTGGTCAATGAGAACACACTTCTGGTTCATGATCAACCACTTGTAAACCATTGGTCAACCACTTGTCAACCGTTGGTCAGCTGTTGGTCAGTGAGGACACCCTGCTGGCTCGTGGTCAGCTGTTAGTCAACTGATTGTCCACTGTTGGTCAACAGTTGGTCAACCACTTGTCAACCATTGGTCAGCTGTTCCTTAACCACTGGCCACCCAGAACACTGTTGGCCATCTTGGCCACCAGGGCACACTGCTGGCTCATGGTCACCCTGGTCCTTCTCCACAGAGTTTCCCTTCCAAACTTCTCTGCTGGAAATTCCAGTCTGGAAGGTTGTGGTACCTGAGATCAAATCCCAGCTCAGCCCTTTTCCCATCCTGACCTCATTATGGGTTCCCTCAGGCATTGTCTGGGGTTGGGCTTCATTTAATGTGACGTGACCCTGGGATTAATCAGGCTGCTGCTGCCATGACAACATTTGGTGAAGAGATGCAGAGCCAACACTTCTTTTTTTAAGTGTTTTTGTTAAATTGAACTTCTTCTGCCACTTGAGCTGTCGATGGGGAGCCGCATTACGGATGGGGTGGTGATGGGGATCAGTCCCCACGTTTCTCACGGGGGTTCTTGCTGCTTCCCCCCTCCTTGAAACGTTTCCGTTGTGATTTCTAGCTTCATTCCGATCCCAAACCCTGCAGCTGCCTCTCAGCTCTCTCCAAGCCCCGATATTTTGGGAAGCAGTGACCTCCTTTCCTGGAGCTGTTTGCAACACGGAGGGAAGGAGGCGAGGTGCCCTCCTCTGAACGCTGCGGCGTCGGTTTCCTGCCTTTATTCTAGACGTGGAGTCCCACAGGGACGGCGAGCTCCATCCCGCTGCGTCTGGGCTGGGTTGGGGTTGGACTGGGTGATCTCAGAGGTGTGTTCCAAACTTCTGTGATATGAGGGACCCCCGTGGAGTCCCCTTGCGCCGTACCGGGGCTCCGCAGCCTCCCAGCACCGCGCTGAGCGCCGTCCTGACCCCGCAGCTCACCAAAAACGGCACGGTGGAGTCGGAGGAGGCGGAAGGGCTGACGCTGGAGGACATCTCGGACGACGACATCGACGTGGAGAACGTGGAGGTGGACGACTACTTCTTCCTGCAGCCCCTGCCCACCAAGCAGCGGCGGGCGCTGCTCCGTGCCTCCGGCGTGCACCGCATCGACGCCGAGGAGAAGCAGGAGCTGCGCGCCATCCGCCTGTCGCGGGAGGAGTGCGGCTGTGACTGCCGCCTGTACTGCGACCCCGAGGCCTGCGCCTGCAGCCAGGCGGGCATCAAGTGCCAGGTGAGTGGCGAGAGACAGAGCGGAAGGGCTGGAAGGGACCTCCGGGGTCCAACGCCCAGAGAAGGGGCGCAGGACTGTGGCCAGGAAGGTTTGGATCTTAACAGAAAGGAGCATCTGCTGGCCGTGTGCTGCGGTGCCCCCCGAGGAACCTTTGGCTTTCTTGGCCACCAGGGCACGCTGCTGGCTTGTGCAGCTGGCCAACTGGTACAGCATGGGCCTTCTTGGCTGTGAAGGCACGCTACTGGCTTGTGGTCAGTTGTTGGCCAACCAGGATGCCATTGGCCTTCTTGGCCACCAGGACACGCTGCTGGCTCGTGGTCACTCTGTGGCCAACCAGTACAGCACTGGTGTTCTTGGCCATGAGGGCACACTGATGGCTTGTGGGCAACTGGAGGGCAGATTTCAGCTGGATGTCAGGGGAAGTTGTTTGCTGTGAGAGCGGTGAGGTGCTGGAACAGCTGCCCAGAGAGGCTGTGGATGCCCCGTCCATCCCTGAGGTGTTGGAGGCCAGGTTGGATGGGGCCCTGGGCAGCCTGGGCTGCTGTGAAACGTGGAGGTTGGTGGCTTTGTGGGGTTGGAGCTTCGTGATCCTTGAGCTCCTCCCAACCCAACCATTCTGTGATTCTGGAGCTCCTTTTCCACTCGTGGTGCCGCGTCGGGCTGGCGGCAGAGCAGCCTTTCCTCGCTGTGCCCACAGGTGGACCGCATGTCCTTCCCCTGCGGCTGCTCGCGGGACGGCTGCGGGAACATGGCCGGCCGCATCGAGTTCAACCCCATCCGCGTGCGGACTCACTACCTCCACACCATCATGAAGCTGGAGCTGGAGAACAAGCGGCAAAGCGCGCGGCCCGGCGACGAGGAGCTGCAGGGTTCGGGCAGCTCGTGGCCCCCCGGCGCGCAGCCCCCCGAAACGCAGGACTTCCAGGAGTTCATGGCCGAAAACGAGACGGCCGTCATGCACCTGCAGACCGCCGAGGAGTTGGAGAGGCTGAAGGCTGAGGAAGACTCCAGCGGCGGCTCCGGCGTGGAGAGCGTCGGCGTCTGCATCCTGGAGGAGCCGCTGGCCGTGCCGGAGGCGCTGTGCCCGGGGTTGGCGGCTCCCATCCTCATCCAAGCGCAGCTGCCGCCGGGATCCTCCGTGCTTTGCTTCGCCGACGGCGCCGAGCAGCCCGCAGCCGCGCAGCCCTACTTGAACGCCGCTCCGCTGCTGTATTACCAGGTGGAGCCGCGCTCCGTGCTGAGCCCCAAGGGCGAGAACGGCGCTGAGGAGCGACCGAAGGACACCGCGACCGCCCCCACGGTGCCCTGCGGCCGAGCTGCCCCCGCCCCGAGCAAAGGGGAGGGGGCGAAGGGCGCGGGGATGGAGGGCGCGCAGAGCTGCGCTGCTCCGCTCGGCCCTGAGGAGCCCCCCCAGGGGGTGTGAGCCCCCCCAGCCCTTATTTATTGAGGATATTCCGCGGCGCAGCGCTGCCCCGAGGCATTGAGTGGGGAGGGGGGGAAGGGAGAGGAGCGGGGGCAGTTTGTACAGATGGTGGCACACGGAGCGCCAAGGGGACAGACGGACAGACACACGGACACGGAGCCCACGGGCTGCAGTCCTGCTTGGGGCACCGAGAGACGGACAGACACACGGACAGCGTGGGCCGTGTCCCCGCAGAGCCGCTTGGGGCACCCTGTGCTCATCAGTGCCCGCTTCTCCCCGCTGCCCAGCCGGGGCCCCTCCTCCTTTTTGCCTCGGACGCAGAAGAAGACTTCGGGTTGGTGGTTTTTTGGTTTTGTTTTTTTTTTAATTATTCTTTTTTAACGTGCTGAATGTTTACGGGGCCGCACCGCAGCCCAGCGCCCCTCCCCACCAGGGATCCCCACAGCCGCTCGTTGCACAGAGAGGGGTGAGAACAGACACGGACGCTCTTGGCCCCACTCCCACCCCCTTCGGTCGCCGCTTTTACCCCCTAGGACACACATCTGTCCGTCCGTCCGTCCATCCCAGGACTGCTGCCCTGCCCTGCGGTCCCAGCGCTGGAGTTTCGGGCTCTGCCATCCTCCCCCTCCCCCCCAAAGCTGAGACCCCCACAGACGGGACTGGGACCAACTCGGCACAGCAGCGCTTTCACCCTCGGCTTCGTTTTGCTTCCACGCTCCGTTGCTGAAGGGCTCCGACCCACCGAGGGGCTGCGCTGGGGCAGCGGCCGCCCGGTGCCACCCAGCACCGCTTTGTCCCCACGCTTTGGTCCCCGTCAGAGCTCTAAACGTTCCCCCTTCCCCCCCCCTCTGCTCTGTGCCCCCCCGGGCGCAGTGGGTGCTCCGCCTGTCCCACGCACACCGCCGGCGGTTTTCATTTCTATTCCACTGTGAATCCAAAGCTGTGTTGGGTCCTCCCTATTATTATTATTATTATTATTGGTTTTTTTTTTAACGGTTTTGTTTTGTTTGTTTCTTTGTTTGTTTGTTTGTTTTTTCCCCTCATGGTGAGAATGCTGTATTTAAAAAGAGAATATTTAAAGAGTAACAAATAAAAGGAAGGCTCCGAGCCGCAGCGGCGATGGGAGGCGCAGCCGGGGAGGGGATGGGGTCACCGCCCTCAGCCACAAACACGTGGGGCCGTGCTGGAAGCCTTTAATGAAACACAGCAGAATGGGGTGGGGTGGGAGATGGGGGTGGGGATGGGATGGGGTTGGAGACGGGTTGGGTGACGGGGGTGAATGGGAGCTGGGGTGGGAGATGGGGGTGGGGATGGGATGGGGTTGGAGACGGGGTTGGAGACGGGGGTGAATTGGAGACGGGGTTGGAGACGGGGTTGGGGATGGGGTTGGGGATGGGGTTGGGGATGGGGATGGGGTTGGAGTTGGGGTTGGGGTTGGAGTTGGGGTTGGGGTTGGAGATGGGGATGGGATGGGGATGGGATGGGGTTGGAGATGGGGTTGGAGATGGGGTTGGAGATGGGGATGGGATGGGGTTGGAGATGGGGATGGGGTTGGAGTTGGGGTTGGGGTTGGAGATGGGGTTGGGGAGCGCTCCGGAGGTGGTGTCACAACAGGCTGAGCCCACACTGCTGCTCCACTCCTTCCAGAGGAGCACGGAGCTTAACGAGGCACAGCTTAATGACAGAGGGGCAGAACTCAGTGCTTACACGAAACTCAACGTCATGGCATCGAAACTCAACTACACCAACACGGAACTCGGTGACGGACGCAGAACTGGATGGTGACTCAAAACTCAATGACCCCAATGCAGAACTCAGTGACCCCAACAGAAAAGTCTACTATGGAAAACTTGATGACATTAAGTCAAAACTCAATGACCCCAATGCAGAACTTGATGGCACCGATGCAGAACTCAATGACATCAACTCAAAACTCAACACCAACGCAGAACTCAATGACATCAACTCAAAACTCAACACCAACGCAGAACTCAATGACATCAGGTCAAAGCCCAGTAACACCAATGCAAAACTCAATGAAACTAATGCAGAACTCAATAACACCAACGGAGAAGTCAATTAATTAATTAAGCAGAACTTGATGACAGCAAGTCAAATCTCGATGACAGTCACGCAGACCTCAATGACATCAGGTCAAAACTCAATGACTGCAACGCAGAACTCAATGGCACCAATGCAAAACCCAATGATAGCAAGGCAAAACTCAACGACGCCGACGCAGAACTCAACGACAGCACGGCAGAATTGATGACATCAAACTCAATGCTCACGTAGAGCTGAACGAGTCAAAATTCAATGACATCAACGCAGAACTCCATGACATCACGTCAGAACTCAGCGACACCCAAAGAACTCGATGACAGCACCACAGAACTCAGTGGTTAATGCAGAACGCAGTGCCATCAAGTCAAAACTCGATGACATCGCATGAAAACTCAACAGCAACGCAGAACTCGATGACATCACATCAAAACCCAATGACACCAACGCAGAACTCAGTGACACCAGCACAGAACTCAGTGACACCAGCACAGAACTCAGTGACACCAGCACAGAACTCAGTGACACCAGCGCTCAGTGGGCTCCGCATCCCGAATGGGGACATTTGTGCGTCCCCCCCACCGCAGTGGGGCACAGGGAAGGGGTGACCCCGCAGATCCCACGTGGAGCGGAGCACAGGGACCCCTCTCCAATCCAACCCGACACGCAGAGCTGAGCTGAGTCCCTTTTGGGGGGGTTGTAGGGTAGGGGGACACCTGTTCCCCCCCCATATATACATATAAAGTGCTGCAGTGGCCACGGGGGAATGGACAGAGCCGCAGTGGCATCGCCCTGACAGGACAAAGAGCTGACATTCACCACTCTTCAGTGCCTCCTGCCCTGCTCCTGCAGACCCCCCCCCAGGGGTGGGGGGCACAGAGCACACGGTGCCACAGCAAAGGGATCAGCGGCGCTCATTTCTTCGCTCCTGCGTAGTTGAGGGACAGCAGCACCATGCTGTTGGCCAGCAGGGACGCCTCAGAGGCTGCAATGGGAGAGAGGGAGGTGGAGGCTGAGGGGGGTCCTGTGCCCCCCATTGAGCCCCTCAGGTCTGTTTGGTTTCCCCTTGTGTTGGGGGGGGCTCAGTCTGTACCCATAGGGATCCCCCCCCTCTGAGCGGGTGGGGGGGGGGACAAAGGCTGAATTCCATGGGATGACTGGGATGGGAGGGTCCTGAAAGATCTTAGAACCACAGGATGGTTGGGTTGGAAGGGTCCTTAAAGACCCCAAAACCATAAATAGGGTTGGAAGGGTCCTTAAAGATCCCAAAACCATAGATAGGGTTGGAAGGGTCCTGAAAGGTCCCAAAACTATAGATAGGGTTGGAAGGGTCCTTAAAGGTCCCAAAACCATAGATAGGGTTGGAAGGGTCCTGAAAGGTCCCAAAACCATAGATAGGGTTGGAAGGGTCCTTAAAGGTCCCAAAACCATAGATAGGGTTGGAAGGGTCCTTAAAGGTCCCAAAGCCATAGATAGGGTTGGAAGGGTCCTGAAAGATCAGAAAGCCATGGGATGGTTGGGTTGGGAGGACCCTGAAAGATCACAGAACCACAGGGTGATTGAGTTGGAAGGGTCCTGAAAGATCACAGAAGCAGGGGATGGTTGGGATGGAAGGGTCCTCACAGCCCCCCCCCAGTCCCAACTCCCACCCTGGGCTGCTCCCACCTCCCCAGCAGCCACCCTGGGCCCCATTCACGGCCCTGAGCCCCTCCAGGGCTGGGGCACCCCCACCTCCCCACGCAGCAGTGCTGGGACTCACTGCCTCCACACACACATTGCCCTCCCCTTCTCTCCCCACCCCCTGGTGGCACAGGGTCGCCCCCCAGCCCCCCCCCCACCCACCTTGCAGCACGCAGGACAGCCTCAGCCACTGCTCCAGCCACGCTCTGCACTGCGCCGCGCTCAGCTGCGCGGGGTTCAGCCCCCGCAGGTAGCAGGCCTGCAGAGCACCAAGGGTGGGGGGGAGCTCAGCACCCAAAATTCACAACTGTGGAACGGGGGAGGAGGCCGGGACCCCCGCCAACCCCCAGCAGGGGGGTCTCTCACCGCTCTGAGCTCCTCCTCAGAGAGCTGTGCCAGGCCCAGGCGTGCCAGCGCGCGGTCCAGGTGCCGGATCTCCAGGAGGTGGGAACGCAGGCGGCGCCGCACCAGGACAGCGGGCAGCAGGGGAGTCAGGAACAGCACACGGCTCAGCGCCCGCTGCAGGATGGCACGGCGTGGGGACGGGCACCGGGCATGGCGGGGGGGGAATGGGACACGGGGCGTGGCAGGGGGGGGATGTGGGGCATGGAGAGGGGCGCAGGGACTGAATGAGACAGGAGGCATGGCATGGGGTGGTATGGAATGGACACGGGGCATGGCATGGAGCAGGGACTGACTGGGACATGGGGCATGGCAGGGGGTGGGGATGTGGGGCATGGAGAGGGGCGCAGGGACTGACTGAGACAGGGGGCATGGCATGGGGTGGTACATGGGATGGGACACGGGGCATGGCATGGAGCAGGGACTGACTGGGACACGGGGCATGGCATGGAGTGGGGATGTGGGGCATGGAGAGGGGCATAGGGACTGACTGAGACAGGGGGCATGGGGTGGGGATGGAATGGGACACAGAGCATGGCATGGAATGGGACATGGCATGGAATGGGACACCGTGGCATGGAGCAGGGACTGACTGGGACACAGCATGGCATGGAGTAGGGATGTGGGTCATGGAGAGGGGCACAGGACATGGCATGGGATGGGGATGGAATGGGACACGGGGTGTGACTTGGAATGGGACACAGAGCATGGCATGGAATGGGACTGACTGGGACATGGGGCATGGCATGGAGTGGGGGATGTGGGGCATGGAGAGGGCACAGCGACTGACTGAGACAGGGGGCATGGGGTGGGGATGGAATGGGACACAGCACAGCATGGAGCAGGGACTGACTGAGACTTGGGGCATGGCACGGACTAAGGATGGAATGGGACACAGAGCATGGCATGGAGCAGGGACTGAATGGGACACGGCATGGCATGGAGTAGGGATGTGGGGCATGGAGAGGGGCACAGGACATGGCATGGGGTGGGGATGGAATGGGACACGGGGTGTGACTTGGAATGGGACACAGCATGGCATGGAATGGGACTGACTGGGACATGGGGCATGGCATGGAGTGGGGATGTGGGGCATGGAGAGGGGCACAGGACGGACATGGCATGGAGCAGGGACTGACTGGGACATGGGGCATGGCACAGAGTGGGGATAGAACTGGACAGGGAATGGCACAGAGTGAGGCACGGAGCAGGACATGGGGCATGGCATGGGGTGGGGATGGAATGGGACATGGCACAGCACAGAGTGGGGCATGGAGCAGGACATGGGATGGAACGTGGGGCACGGCACTCAGAGGGGCATGGAAAGGGGCACAGGGCATGCAATGGGGCACAGAGAGGGACATGGGGCTTGGCATGGAGCAGGACACGGGATGGGACATTGCATGGCACAGGGAGGGACACAGAGCACGGAATGGGGGCATGGTGTGGGGCACGAGGTGGGAGATGGGGCATGGCATGGAGCGGAGATGTGGGGCACAGGGAGGGGCATGGAATGAGGCACAGAGCAGGACGTGGAGTGGGACATGGGATGGGGCACAGAGTGGGATACTGGAGCACAGCATGGATGGGGATGGACTGGGACATGGGGCATGGCACAGGGCGGGTCACAGGGCATAGACTGGGACACGGAGTGGGACATGGGGCACGGCACAGAGGGGCACGGAGTGGGGCACAGAGCTGGACACGGGGTGGGGACAGAATGAGACATGGGGCAGAGAATGGGGCACAGAGAGGGACATGGAGTGGGACATGGGATGGCGCACAGGGCATGGAATGGGGCACACAGTGGGACATGGGTCATGGAAAGGAATAGGGCATGGGGCATGGCATGGAGTCGGGCACAGGGCATGGAATAGGGCACAGTGTGGGGCATGGGGGTGAGACATGGGCCACGGAATGGAGTGGGACATGGGATGGGGCACAGAGCATGGCACAGAGTGCACAGAGAGGGACATGGGATGGGGCACGGAGCACAGATTGGGGCACGGAGCACAGACTGGGGCACGGGGTGGCGGTGGAATGAGACACAGGGCATGGATTGGGGCACGGAGAAGGGAAGGCAGTGGGGCACGGTGTGGGGCACACAGCACTCACCAGGTGGGCTGCCCGCAGCTCCCCCAGGCGCAGGGCCGGACCTGAGAACAGCGACTGCACAGCACAGAGCTCAGCCACGAGGGGATGGCGGCCGCGCTGCACCTGCGCAGCACCAGGAGGTCAGCAGTGCCACAACGGGAGGGGTGGGGTGGGGGATGGGG